ATTGGCCTGACAGAGACTGGAGAAACCCCAAGAGTATGGCCCCTGGACACCCTTTTAGCTCAAAGATTAGACAGGCCCATAAAACGAACCAAGACTAATGTGGCACAACAACCCAGGGACAAGGACTAGAAGGGAGGAGGGGACAGGAAAGCTGGTAATAAGGAACCCAAGGTCGAGAAGGGAGAGTGCTGACATTTCGTGGGGTTGTTAACCAACGTCATAAAACAGTACGTATACTAACTGTTTAATGAAAAATTATTTGTTCTGTAAAACGTCATCTAAAGTACAATTTTAAAAAATAAAACAAATGGTGCTGGTATAACTGGATATCCATCTGCAAAAAAATGAATACCCATATTTCACACCACACACAAAAACTTACTCAAAATGGATCAAAGACCTAAATATAAAATCTAAATGATAAAGATCATGCAAGAAAAAATGGGGACAACGCTAGGAGCCCTAATACATGGCATAAACAGAATACACACCATAACTAACAATGCACAAACACCAGAAGAGAAACTAGATAACTGGGAGCGCCTAAAAATCAAACACTTTGCTCATCAAAGGACTTCACAAAAGAGTCCAAAGACAACCTACTGACTGGGAAAAAAATTTTGGCTATAACAAATCCGATCAGCGTCTAATCTCTAAAATCTACATGATACTGCAAAACCTCAACAACAAAAAGACAAATAACCCAATTAAAAAATAGGCAAAGGATATAAATAGGCAATTTGCCAAATAAGACACTCAGGCGACTAACAGACACATGAGGAAATGCTCACGATCATTAGCCATTAGAGAAATGCAAATCAAAACTACAATGAGATACCATCTCACCCCAACAAGTCTAGCATTAATCCAAAAAACAAAATAATAAATGTTACAGAGGTTGTGGAAAGAGTGGAAAACTTACACACTGCTGGCAGGAACACAAAATGGTAAAACCATTTTGGAAATCAGTTTGGCGCTTCCTTAAAAAGCTAGAAATAGAAGTACCACACGATCCACCAATCCTACTCCTTGGAATACATTCTAGAAAAATAAGAGCCGTCATGTGAATAGATCTACGCACAGCCATGTTCACTGCAGCAGTCTTCACAATAGCAAAAAGATGGAAACCACCTAGGTGCCCTTCAATGGACAAATGGATAAACAAATTCTGGCATATTCACACAATGGAATACTACGCAATGATAAACAATGATGAAACCGTCAAACATCTTATAACATGGAGGAATCTGGAAGGCATTATGCTGAGTGAATTTAGTCAGTCTCAGAAGGACAAATATTCTATGAGACCACTAACATAAGAACTCAAGAAAAGGTTTAAACACAGAAGGAAACATTCTTTCATAGTTATGAGGGTGAGGAGGAAGGGAGAGTAGTATTCACTAACTAGATAGTAGGTAAGAATTACCTTAGGTGAAGGGAAGGACAACACACAACACAGGGGTTGTCAGCACAATTGGACTAAATCAAAAGCTAAGAAGTTTCCTGAATACAACCAAATAACTTCGAGGGACAGAGTAGCAGAGGCAGGGTCTGGGGACCCTGCTTTCAAGGGACATCTACGTCAACTGGCATAACAAAGTTTATTAAGAAAATGTTCTGCATCCTACTTTGGTGAGTGGTGTGTGGGGTCTTAAAAGCTAGTGAGCAGCCATCTAAGATGCATTAACTGGTCCCAACCCACCTGGGAGAAAGAGAATGAATAACACCAAAGACACAAGGAAACTATTAGCCCAAGAGAGAGAAAGGGCCACATAAACCAGAGACTCCATCAGCCTGAGACCAGAAGAACTAGATGGTGCCTGGCTACCACCAATGACCGCCCTGACAGGGAATACAACAGAGAGTCCCTGATGGAGCAGGAGAAAAGTGTGGTGCAAAACTCAAGTTCTAGTAAAAAGACCAGACTTAATGGTTTAACTGAGACTGGAGGGACCCTGGAAGACATAGTACCCGGACTGTCTTTTGGCCCAGAGCTGAATCCATTCCCGATGCCAACTCTCCAGACAAAGATTAGACTGGACTATGGAACATAAACAATACTCGTGAGGGGTGTGCTTCTAAGCTCAAGTAGTTACATGAGACTAAATGGTCAGCTCTTGTCCAGAGGTGAGATGAGAATGTAGAAAGGGTCAGGAGCTGGGTGAATGGACGCAGGAAATCAGGGGTGGAATGGAGGTATGTGCTGTCACAGTACAGTGAGAGTAACTAAGATCACACAGCAATGTGCGTATAAATTTTTGTATGAGAATCTGACTTGAATTGTAAACTCTCACTTAAAGCACTATAAAAATTTGTAAGCGAAATCAATTCTAACTTTCAGTAGTTATATCAAAACCCTTAGCTAAAGAAACTGTACCTTGTAAGAAGTAAATCAGATTAATATAGGAACTGACCTGATACGTAGTAACACTAATTCTGCTGAGCTACAAATGTCAATTACCCAGCTGGTTTGAACTGTATCACAGTTCTGAGTAGGACGTGTTAGATCTTGATAAGCTCCCACTCCAACAATTAAAAAAGCTTGGATCAATTACAAAAGCTGTGTCTGAAGAAATCAGAGAGCTACAGAAGCTCTGATGACAAGATAACTGAAATTCGATAAAGATGACCTTTCCCTCTTGAGGGTATCTGTAGATCTTGGCCCTATGGGACTCTACTGGGTAACAGAGAAACACAGGACTGGCATAACGAATTGGAAACCAGAGGAGGCCCCAAAAGACAGCTCATTTTCCCCACAGATGTTTCCTGAGGTCAAAAGAGGAAGATGGGAGACTGGAAGCCAAGCTGTAAAGGTAGTGAAATCTCTGTGGTCTGACGATTAAGTCCCAGTAGAAGAGGGAGACTTGCATCAAATATGAGACAGGTCTCCCCCATAACACATTTGCCAGATTGTGAAGCAGTATGGGGTAAGAGGCTAAAGAGCTAATCTCAGATCTCTGAAGAACAGAACGAAGTGGCCTTCAGTATTCAGAACTGAAGTGACAGAGAACTGTCAGGCTCTAAATCAAAAGCCTGGAATGGCCATGCCTAAGGACAAATAAGAGGTAGACTGAGTCTAATTAAAATGGCCTGCTCAGCCCTGACCCAGCTCAATTCTTGGTTGGATTGAATTATGTCCCCAAAAAAGATATGCTGAAGTCCTAACCTCTGTAACCTGTGAATGTAACCCTATGCAGAAACAGGGTCTCTGAAGATGTCATCAGTTAGCTTAATATGAGGTCATACTGGAGTAATTTGGGTCTTAATCCTACATGATTGGTGTCCTTATAAAAGGAAGGATATACATAGACAGACAGAGAGGAAAAATACCATGTGATGCTGCAGCTACCAGGCAAAGAATGCCTGGAGCTACCAGATGGCTAGGAGAGAGGGACAGAATAGATTCCTCCTCAAGCCTCATAAGGAATCTATATAGTCAACATTTTGGTCTTGGGCTCCCAACCTCCAGAACTGTGAGACAGTAAGTTTCTGTTAATGTAAACCATTCAGTTTGTGGTATTTTGTTATGGCAGCCCCAGGAAAATAATACACACCCTATCTGCCTACTAGAAGAAAAGCGCAAACCCTCTCTAGATGGAAATATTACATCATTTGCAGCATCTACGGTTCTTTTATATGTAATGTCCAGCAAACAATGAAAGCTTTTAAGCAAGGCATGTATAAAAACAGAAAATTGTGACAGAAAACCAAGAGGAAAAAAAAAAACAATATAAGCAGATCCACAAATGATCCAGATATTGGCATTAGTAAGCAAGGATTAAAAAAAAAATTTTTTTTAAATGTTAAAGAAAATGAATTGCATCATGGGCACAACTGACTGGAGAAAAGTCAGGAGGCTCTTGCTTTCAACCTAGGGCCTGTACTATTATTTGAAAGCAAAGAATAAATAGGAGGGGGAAAAAAATGGGAGATAATTAGGATAAAAAATAAAATAAACCTGAGTTGAGAGTGTTTAATATATAAAGAAATGAAAACATCTAGAATAAAATTCAGGTTTCTGGCTTGAAAATTTGGTTTACTGGTAGTATCACCCACCAGATGTAAAAAACCGAAGATATTACATTTGCATGCATACCAGACTTCTCTTTATTTTGGGATAGTTCTTCATACTGAAGTGTTATGATGACTAAACTATAAATGGGAGCCCTGGTGGCACAGAGTTTAAGAGCTCGGCTGCTAACCAAAAGGCTGGCAGTTCGAATCCACCAGCTGCTCCTTGAAAACCCTATGGAGCAGTTCTACTTTGTCCTATACGGTTGCTATGAGTTGGAATTGACCCGACAGCAATAGGTCAGACAGGTCAAACAATAAATGAAGTCCCCGGGGGGTACGAAAGGTGAACGGGTACAACTGCTAACTGAAAGAGTAGAGGTTCGTGTCCACCCACAGGCACCTCAGAGGAAAGATCTGGTGACTGACTTCTGAAAAATTAGCCATTGAAAACCTTATGCAGCACAGTTCTACTCTGACACACGTGGGGTCGCCATGAGTCAGCAACTGGCAGGTAGGCAGTGTAAGCTGTAAATGTACCTAAATAATTCTGTAAATAAGACATCTTAACTGAAACGTTTGTCTAAAAGGACTCTTCAACAGAAGGCACTGGTAATAAAAATTCTATGCCCATCCACCAATTTTGCTAAAAAATAACTCTGATGAAAAGTTGTAAGAGCCAACTACTAAAAAAATAATTAAGAGATAACCACTTTTGTGAGAACCCTAAGCCTGAAGATAATGATAGTGAAAATATCCAACAGATTCAATATTTTTTCTACTGAGAATAGATTCTTTGCACATTCAGTTGGAGACGACACCTTTAAATATACATATTCAGTTAACAAATATACTGAAGAAATACCAAAATACATCACTAAAGGGAAATGATAAATCACTATTCTTCCAATCCATTTCATGGATATTTTACATCTACTGACCAAACAATTCAAAAAAGGAAAAAGATCAATAAAAAAATGATTGTATACCGCGAAAAACAGAATTCTAATTGTTTCTTCAGACATTCTTTTAGGTCTTCTGTAGAAATTGCTGAATTGCTTTCTCCTAATGATGGGGGGAGAAAAAACGATTAATACCAAGGAACCATAAATGTTGACTCTTACATATTGTTGTACTCAAAGTACTAAAACCACTTGACTTCCATGTTATATAACACTACCCTAAACACTTTGACACTATGATAAATACTTGTTCCTTTAATGAACTCGAAGAACAAAAGTAACAGTAATTTAATTTGAAGACAGGAACTAGTTAAACCAAGTGGGTGATATATTTAAAACATACCACATCCCTATTATTGATAGTAAATCTAATGTTGTCACACTCCTTAAACTTCTTACTCGTAATACTCTTTTCTGTTCATTCCTTGATTTTTTAGTGCACTCTACCTCCCTAGCCATGTTTAAAGCACTCAAACATTCAGAGAAGTAGATCAACTATGTAACAGTCTTCTGTGCTATTATTTCAACACAGAACATGAGACTTTTTTTAGGACTCCAGTCTGGAAAATCATCCCTCTTAGAAGAATTACACAAAACACTACAAACTAAAATTAATGATAATATAGGCTAAATTTCTTTTACATACAGACAATAGGATCATGCAAAGCTAAATAAAATTTGTGTGTGATTTACCATTAACTTGTCTTATTACTCAAGAACCAAAGTGATATAAGGTATTAAGTTTCATTAGAAATGAATGTAAGGAAGATTCTATGTATCTGCAATCTTTCTAATACAAAACTCATCCATCAAAAGGCTAGCTGAATAAGCAATCAATTCATTTAACCTTTCAATGTCATTTACAGCAAACACATTAAAATACCAACAGACTGCCACATCACTTAAACCAACTCTATTCAAAGTAGCCAGTAGTTAGATATGCCAACAAGCAAGGAGTAGAACTCACTACCTTAAATTATTACAGGCGTCCCCCGTTTTTTGAAAGTTTGCTTTATACCACTTTGCTTTTATGAAAAACCTACATTCGTTACCTATTTTCGCTAATTGGAAGAAATCCAAAGAGATTTTCACTTCTACAAAAAAAGGGGAAAAGCGGAAATAGCGTTCACGGTTTGTTTTGCAGCCAGCCGTTAAAGAGGCAGTGCACACCCCAAGCAGTGAGAGTGGTGTTGCCAAGCTCCTTCCCCGGGAATTACAATCAGCATCAAGCCATCATAGCTTTGAACTGTGTCTGTGAGCATCTGTGCTTTATCTCAATTTATTTTGTGCATCCGTTAGCAAAATGTATCCTAAGATATCGAAAAAGCCTAAGAGAGTTCATGAGTTTTTGCATGTTATTTGGCATGATTTGGTAGGTTATTTTTTGGGTCTGGGAATGCGCAAAAATTTTTCCTATATAAATTAATGGTAATTGCTTCTTCTCTTTATGCCATTTTGGCTTACCGAAGGTTTCATAGAAACGCTCTATTTTTAGACAGCAAGGGAAACCTGTATATGGAAATACTATCTCCTTCTTCTTCAGAAATCAATTTACGAGCCAGCAGACCTAAGAAATCTATTCCAAACTTTTATATAAGGAAATTGAGGACAAAGGTTTATATACCTTGACAGAAGTCATGGAGCTACTTATAAAGCAGAGATACAAATAACTACTCCCTGTTACACTCATTTTTCAGAGACCTATTAGAAACTGGGTGAAAATAAAGTTAGGTAGTAAAGGTGTGTCGACCATTTTCAGTGTCTTTTAAATTTCATCCATTTTAAATCCATGTGACTACTAATCCATACTGATTAAAATCCATGTGAGAAAAGCACATTTCACAAGTTGAGGTGTAATACAATCCATGTTTTTAATATATAGCCTTTTCCTCAAAATTAATACTTGCAATTTCACATTTATAAATGCATTTCACTCTTGTGACAAAAGTGAGAGGAAAATTGATAGAACTTGTCTTGTTCCAACTAACAGACTGAGAAACTTAGACCCTGAAAGATTATAATTTAGGTCTCTTTTAACCATTGTGACTGTTTTTATTTCCTATTAATCTTTAATTTCACGCTTTCCTTTAGTACCAAAACGTGTCGCTGTCGAGCCAATTCCGACTCATAGCAACCCTAGAGGACAGAGTAGAACTGACCCATAGTTTTCAAGCCTGTAATCTTTATGGGAACAGGCTATCACATCTTTCTCCTGAGGAGTAGCTGCTGAGTTTGAACCGCCGACCTTTCTGTTAGCAGCGGAAAGCTTAACTACTGCGCCACCAGGGCTCCTTAAAGTAAACATTCTTTTTAAATTACAAATTTCATGTTTGAGTATTTGAAAACAGTATTTAAAACCATCACCTTTCATTAACATAAGCTTCTTTTAAAATAAGAAAACCAACCAAATAATACCACTGGGTAAGGACTATACCTAAAGAACTTGGTAGGGTAGATCAATGCAATGATAAACAGACTGAGGGGGGGAGGAAAGCTAACATACTGAATTCTCATTTTACCAATAAACCATCAAGTTTACCAGAAACGTCATATATTTGGTAATTCAGATCTTCTGGTCCTAAAATCATTCCATCAGTTGATTCTTCAATGCCTGCAGTACTTCTTGAGGTTTCGCAAGATGTAGAATACATTACTTCATACTCCTTACACATACCATCTGAGAGCTCTGAACTACCTGTATTAAAAGAAAACACATCAAAAATTAATAGAAGTTCTTTAAATCCTATGTCCAGAAACTCCAAGCAGTATGTCTTCCACAACAAGATCACAAGGAATTCTACCAGTTGAGAAAATGTCCACATATTTTAAGTAAGAGTTATCTCCTAGAAGTTTGGACCATCATAGGGAAGCCAAAATGATAAACAATAGCTAACACTTATATAGTACTATGTATCAAAATGCTCTGAGTTTTATTCATTTAATTTCAGAAAATCCTGATATAGGTAATTATTATGATTTCTGTTTCACAGAGGAGGAAACAAGCCCCAAGAAGTTAAGTCATTTGCTCACGGTCAGTGAGTAAATGGCAGAGTCAATGATGGTAAATCAAAACTCATCTAAAAAGACCACATAATAAATGGATATGATGCTACACCTATGCACGCAAAGCCACTATATGAAATCACTGACAATCCATTCATGTTGAATATAAATGAGAATTGTATATGAACTACATATTAACATTTATAAATGTATTTAATTAAATAATCAAAGGATGTATGCCAAAGTTCTATAAATTGGTTTGGCCATACATTTAACTGAAATGTGATTTGTTCTGATGAAATATTTAGGACCTACCCTCAGGATGAGGCCCTGACGTGGCTGCTGTTTCATGCCAAGAGCTTTCTCTTCCATGAGTTACTGGAGTGGCATCAGTATTTTCAGAAGGGATTTCCTGCCATACTTTGGCATTAGGATTTAAACCTGTTCCTTTAGATGTTACCTGCTAAATAATCAAAGGATCCATTTGTATATTTCAAAAAAAAAAAAAAATCCATGCATTAAAAATACAAACTTACTTAAATATAAGTTAATTAATAATAAAAAATAAAATTAAAAACTTTTAAATAACTATCATATTAAGGCTATCTAGAATAGATGATAGGTTCCATTTTCTCAATAAGATTTTTAAAAAGCTTTTTTGACCAACCTGAAAATACAAACCTTAAGTAGATGAACTTAAAATATGTCTACATATAAAATTTAGCTAGCTATACATTAAAACATATACCTTATATGGATACATTTTATTATAGAAATACTTTTTTCCAGCTTACTCACAAATGTAATAACAAATTTATTCGAACTAGTCACATATCTTTGATAATAGTATGTGTTTGTGTATCTAAAGTCAATTTTTTAGTTATCTAGGGCAATTTTCCAAAAGTATATAATTTTTTATCGCCATCTAAGCTGTGACAGAGGATGAATCTCTAAATGATTCCATCACTGGAAATATCATCCCAGGTCAAAAACAGTCATCTGCCTTATATTAGAATGCTTTTTCCACTTTTCTGACAGTGTGTATTCTTCATGCCCACAACGTAACTATTTAACATATTGCCTTTTAAAGTGATCTTTTTGCATACATTGTCTAATCACAGGCATATATGGAGGTGACAAGCAGAAATGGAACATGGTGTGGGGAGAAGAGCATTATATTACAAAATTACAGACAGGAAGAAAGTGAAAGAAGGGTAAGATGCACAAATGCACTTCCTACCTCATCCAACCAAACAACAGGGCTTCATCCTTCTCAAGTATATTAATGAAGCTTTGAAAAGTTTACTCCCTCTCCAGAAACTTATTTTGACTGTCTTCTCAGCCCCAGGCCCCTCTCCTGGATGGCAGGCACGAGGAGGTAGGTCCAAAGAACAGGGAATTAATTAACTCAAGCTTATGACCTGCAGATACTAGGAACTAAGCTTTCATGAAAAAATAACCGGCATCCACTGAGCCATTTATAAGAAGGTTATCATAAATGCTCTACCTGGAAGGGGTTCTTACCACTGGCTTTTGTTTTTTTTTTTTAAAACTTTTAATGTGTCATCAACACTCAAATGTGGTCAACCAAAGTAGGACTCTGGTTGGACAGAACTGCAGAGCCCCGAGAGTTGCTGACTAAAGACTCAGCTTCTGGGAGGCCCAACTGTACTTTCAACAATTGTGTCTCATAAATTCCCTTACATCCTTCTAATAAACCAACTTTTTGCTTCAGTTTCTTTCTGCGTGTTTCCATATTGTGGAACTAACATAAGTTACAGGGTATGCATGAACCAAAACCTGCTAAAAACCAAACCGGATGAGAAGGCAAAACAGTCAGGAGCTGCTTGAATGGAGATGGGAAATCTGGGGTGGAAAGGAGGATTGTGCTGTCACAGTATAGGGAGAGCAACGAGGGTCACATAACAACGTATGCATAAATTTTTATATGAGAGACTAACCTGAATTGTAAACTTTCACTTAAAGCATAACAAGAAAAAGAAAAAAAAACACCAAACCGGTTGTTGTCGAGTCGTTTCCGACTCAGCGACCCTAACGGACAGAGTAGAATTGCCCTATAGGATTTCCAAGGGGCACCCGGTGGATTCGAACTACTGACATTTTGGTTAGCAGCCGAGCTATTAACCACTGCGCTACCAGGGCTCCAAGGAAGTAATATTGTTTATTTACACCCTACTGCTTGCCATACAGGGTCGTTCTGAGTCGAAATTGACTCCATGGCAGTGGGTTTGGTTTTTGGTTTTGCTTGCCATGTATGAGGCACTGTTGGCTCAGTGGTAGAATTCTCGCCTTCCATTCAGGAGACCCGAGTTCTATTGCTGGCCAGTGTACCTTATGCAGAGGCTTGTATGTTGCTATGGTGCACAACAGGTTTCAGTGAAGCTTCTACACTAAGATGAACTAGGAAGAAAGGCCTGCGATCTACTTTCAAAAATTAGCCACTGAAAACCCTATGGATCACAACTGTCTAATCTGCAACCAATCATGGGAACAGTGTAGATCTGGACAGTGTTTCATTTCACTGTCCACGGGGTTGTCAAGAGTCAGGAGCCGACTCGATGGCAGCTAACAACAAGTTTGCCATATTTTAATTTTATTATTATTATTCTCTTTTATCAACTAAAAAGAAAGGTTTTGAAAGCAAGTTTGGGAGAGAGGAGACGGATCAGACACAATGTCCTTTTCTGTGTCCAGGTTCCTTCATTATCTTGGGAACAAGGGCTGAGCCTTGAAATGCTGGCAGTAGTGGAAAGTATTTTATCACTGACACCGTTTAGAATTGCCAGGTGTAGAGTAATAAAAAGCATAGGACTTTTAGTCAATTTTATTATAGTTTTTAAGTTTTCTAAGACAGTACAAGGAGCCCTGGCCGTGCAGGGGTTACTGTAAGCACTCTGCTGCCAACTAAAACGTAAACCCACCAGCAGCTCAGTGGGAGAAAAGACGTGGTGATCTGTTCAAGTAAAGATTATAGCCTAGGAAACCCTACAGGGCAGAATCAACTCAACAGCACAAAACAACAGACAATACAGATTCTATTACTGCTTGCATCAGGGAAGTACCCTGTGACACCCCCGTAGCCCCCAACCCAAGCCTTTGGTAGAACACTGCTTTGGAGCTGAGTTGAATAGCCAAGTGTGATTCAGGAATTTAGGTGCAGCTTAATCTCTGATTGATAGCAGAACTACAAAGAGCTTCTGATAGCCTAGCTCTCCTGCCATATCATGTGAACAGTATTTAATTCAATATTAAGCATTTTTAACAGAGGAAAACCTATACATTTCCATATTTACCCTCCTTCCCTTCCCTCAATTTTAAGAAATACCAGATATGTCCTATCCAAGAAAATGGCAATAGTAAGACAACAGTATTCAGAAACAGAAATCGAACTTCTGAATAAATATTATTTCCTTATTCCGAATAAATAAATACAGTGAAAGAGCATGAAATGCATTTAATAAATAAGATCTGTACGTGAAAAAGATACAGTGAAAAGGCCATATACCTACTAGCTGTTGTTGTTAGTTGCCATCGAGCAGATTCCAACTCATGGTGATCCCATGCGTGCGCAGCAGAACTGCTCTATCAGGTTTTTCAAGATTGTATGACTCTTTACCTACTAGAAATATTCCTAACTCATAGGATTGTTATGCATAGTAGTATGTGTTGATTCCGACTCACAGCAACCCTACAGGACAGCAAAGAACTGCCCCATAGGGGTTCCAAGGAGCAGCTGGTGAATTTGAACCACTGACCTTTTGGTTAGCAGCTGAGCTCTTAACCACTGCACTACCAAGGAGAGTCATTTCAAGGCAGTTATTAATTACTATCTCAATATAACATACAACTGTTGGATGCTCTGGCTCTAGAATCATACCTGAATTCAAAACCTAGCTCTACTGTGTGATCTTAAGGAAATTTCTTAACTCATTTGAGCCTCATGTTTCTCAATTGTAAACTGAGATATAAGATTTTCTGATTTTATGAATAAAATTATATTAACACCTGACAAGCAGTTAGTACTCACTATAAACACTCTAAATCTGTCTTTACATATAGCATGTTGACTTTGAATAGAAAGAAATTCTGCTGTCTCACCCTCAAAAGTATATCAAACACCAACATATAACATCAAAATAACTGCAAGGTGAAGTTAAAAATTAAAAGTCAACGAGTACATCATAAAAAATTAGCTCTGAAGCAACAGATAAAATCACAAAAGACAGATGACTATCGAATAACATAAAACTGTGCAGCAAAAACTAAAAACTAGGAAAACACTTGCAAATTTAACACCAAAACCAAACAAACGAGCCCCATTGCTGTCAAGTCAATTCGGGTTCATAGTGACCCCACAGGACAGAGGAGAACTGCCCCATAGGGTTTTCAGGGAGTGTATGATAGATTCGAACTGCCAACCTTTTGGTTAGCAGTCGAACGCTTAACCACTGCACCACCAGGCAAATGTGACAGAGACATAAAAGTTACAACACACTGGTTAGAAAAAGCCCTCGACAGCTAAGTGCCAAGAATATAAAAATTCAAGGAAAAAATTAACACACACACATGCTTACATTTGTATATATACAAATGGGAAGATAAAGTACCATTTTACACTTATTAAGTCAGCAAAACATTTAAAAATAATTCCCACATTGGCGTAAAATTTTGCAATCTCATCTTCTACGGAGAATGTATGAAATGGTACAACTCATAATCCCACCTATTACCATTATTCATAAGAGCAAAGAAATGGACATAACCCAGTCAAACAAGAGGATGAACAAAGGAATTTAATACACTCACTTGGTCAAATATTACACAGCCATTCAAAATGAGATATGACATCACTACATTTTATATACAATCTAAAGGGATACTAATATATCACAAAAAAAATTGCTGTTCATGCCAAATATTATAAAACATATTCCAATTTTCAGAAAAGTTAAAATGTGTGGAAATGTGTATCTTGAGGGTCAATGAAATATGGAAAGTATCAAAATGGAAAAATGTTCTCACATAATAGAGTGAAAAAAGCATAACCACCACAATAACAAAACATGTTAAGCACTTCCATGGGCTAGCGACTGTACTACTGAATACTTCACGTGTATCATCTCATCTATTTCTTAAAACATTCCATATCTCCCTTTTACATATTATCCCATTATATAATAGGTGCACAGAGAAATAATGGCCCCAACTAAAAGACACACAGCCTGACTCCAGAAAGAATATTATAACCCATACAATGATTATAATTCACACTGTATTACAATTGTAAAAAGTACATAAACATATGAATAATAGATTATGCTGGAAGGGAACACAATCTGCTACTTCTTAAAAAGCATTCCATTAAAATTTGCTTTGAGTCATAAAAATATTAAGCTTAAAAAAATGTATCACATCTTATCAGGAATTCTTCATACCAGGGAA